TTATAGTCTATTAAATAATTAGACTTATTAAAATATTCTAATACTCAGAATTCTGACAGTCTAGAATCTTAATTACAAAATTTTAACATATCTAAAATCCTAATAGTCTATAATTCTAATATTTTTAATCCTAAATGATTATAATTCTGACTATCAATATTTTGAAAATCTAAATCTAAATTATTCTAATCCTAATTTAACATAATAAAAAATATAATCTAATTATAACTTTAATCCTAATTATAATACTAATTAAATTCTAATATTAAATCTAATTAGTTTAGTATATTTCAATATAATCACATTTAAAATATATTAGCATTACATCACAGTTTTTTAATTATATTATTTAGAATTAAAATATCAGAATTATAGATTATCAGAATTTTAGATATGTAAAAATTTTAGAGTTTAAATTTTGAATTATCAGAATTTTAAGTATTAAGATCTTTAAATAACTACAGTTATAATTATAATTATAGCAGTAAATACTATAGCTATTATATGTAATACTATATTATTATTAAAATAGATATTTTTATGTTATATCAAATTTAATGATTATATTTTAAATAGATTTATATTTATTTTATTAATCTTTATTAATCTTTTTTTAAAAATATTATTTTTTATTTATTATTTTATATATAAATGTATTACAAAAAATATCTTTAGCATGATATTATCATTTGTATTATATTTTTACATTAAATTAATTAAAAAATAATTTACTAAAAAATAATTTAAAAAAAAATTACATAAATTAACTAACAAAATATTAATTAAATATTGTGAATATTAATTAAATTCAAAATTTAAATTTAAAAAATATAAATCTGAATTTAAAATTAAAAATATTTAATTAAAAAAGATTTTTAAAAATAAATTTAAAATATAAGAAATAAATAATTTATAAGTAAATAAAATCTAATAAAAATTTAATGTTTGAAATTTAATTAATTAAAAATAAAAAAATTATAATTATTAAATAAGATTAATTAATTACTTAATGCTAAATAAAAGATAAAATCCTTAGTAAACTGAAATTATAGTTAAGAATAAATTTAAATTTTTATTAAATATTCTTTAAAATTTCTAAAAAAATATAATATATTGTAAAGAGTACAGATTTCTTATTTTAACCAAATTATTAAACTAATATTTTAAGTAAAAATAGTAAAATTTATAAAAGAAAAAAAATATTATATGTTTGTTTTTTTATATGTTAAATTTATAAATTACTAAAAAATAAATATTTTTTTTTAAACATTTATATTAACTAGCAAGTATTTTCTTTTATTACTTCAAAAAAAAATATTAATAAATAATATTATAATTAGATACTTAGTATTTAAGCAAAATTTTAGTTAAAATTATTTTCAGTAGCATAAATATAGCAAAAAAAAAGATTAAGTTATTAAACTATTAATACTTATATATTATTTTAATTAATTAGTTTAATTTGAATTTACTTTATAAAAGTTAATTATTTAAGTAAATCAATATAACAAATTAATATAAAAATCTTAAAATTTATGAATATTAAATCTTTATTGTATTTATTATATTAAATATTGAAATTTTAAAAGGTTAATATAAAAATTAATAATTATATTATATTTTATAAAAATAAATATTATTTTTTTTTTTTTTATTTTTATTATATTTTTTTTAACTTTACTATTAAATATTTTGTATACAGATTAAAATTTTCTGTTATAAATATTTTATTCATTTAGTAATATTTATTAAAAAAATGCCTAATAAATTTAATAATTAAAAAGAACTTTTAGATGAATAATTTTTATGGCATTAATACATATATAGTTTTATATAATAATATAATTTCAATAAGATTTCAAGTAACAATTATTAATTTATTATATAATATCAAATTAGATTAATCAAGTTATTTGAACTGAATGGATCAAGTTAGATCAAATAAAAATATGATTAATTTGATTTAATCTAATTAAATTATTTAAGAAGAATGATAAAAAATCATTTTAATTAAATTATAATGAATTATTTAAGAAGAATGATAATTGAATCATTTTAATTAAATGGTAATAAATCATTCAAAAAGAATGATTAATAATTATTTAAGAAGAATAATCAGTTGACTTAAATTTTTTCAGATTAGGTCAGATTAGGTCAACTTGTTAACCTGACCTGACATTAACCTGCATATCTACTAACTTGACTTGAATTTTTAGATCAAGTCAAGTCAGGTAATCAGGTTAATCTTTTCTGATTTAAAGCTTTAAGTAAATATTTAAGCAATTCTTATAGGTTAATTTAAAAAAAAATACAATGACTTAAAATTAAGAATTTCTTGAGATTCAATGAAATTAGCAACTTAACACAGAATTGTTAAAAGTTTTCTTGGATTACAATATAATAATTTTTGTTTTAATTTAGCTTTAATCTCTCAATATGAAGAATCACATCAAAAAAAAAATAATTTACAAAAACAATTGTAAAGAAATCAATTCTAATTTAGAAATTACTATATGAATAATTAATTCGATAAATGGTGGTGTTTTACAACGAGTTAATTAAGAATTAAGATTGTAAAACATCTAAATGTTTATTTTTATTGTATTGTTTGATGATTACAAAATATTGTAGGATCATGCTCAGCTTGCTTGACTAATATTTAGATGATCATGTAGTGCAGTTTTGATTTGGCTTGATTTTTATGTATAATATTGTATAATATATTGGATAAACAAACTCAGCATGATATAAGGCAGTGCGATATTAAAATTATATTTAACGAAATTATCTACATATTCACGAGGTGCGTAGATAACTGAATGAATACAGAATGGATCATCAAAATCAAATCATACTTCGCAAAAAAATACCCAGCCTAGTTGAGGCTAATTGTGGCTTTAAGATACAGGTATTTTAAAAAAAAAATATATTTATCAAAATGTTGTTTGTCAAGAACCTTGGTTAAACAATAATGAACCTTACCGAGAATGGAATGAGCGATTTGTAATTGGATTGAAGGAGACGTAGCTGTTAAAGAGGTTTATGTAAGGTCTAAAATGATCGTGATCGAGAATTTATTAATTAGGTACGCAAATTTTTTTTTTATACAGTATATTCTTTTCCTTATATATTAATTGGAGATGAATAATCTTTTAAAATTCATAACCGCGCGCGTAATAATTCAATTCTATGGAATATTCAAAATCTCATTTCTCTTTGGTTATAATAAAAGATCTTTTAATTAATTGTAAATTTATTCTCAAGACGTTGTAAGAAATTATTTTGAATATGCGAAAGTTAGATAAATTGAAGGAAAAGATTCGTCTCGCAACACAAAATATCCGAAAGACTTTCGTATCTTCACAATAAATTTAATAATTAACAAAATGTCACGTCACGCAGCATTTCTATTATCAGCACATGAGAAATCGGATTTCGGAATTTCATTGATAAGATCGTTCATTTTTTATTTAATAATTAATAAATAATTGTTCTCGACGAATATGATTTTCACAAGTGGGCTGTGAGGAAACGAGGCGGTTTTAATAAGCCAAATTGATAGCTAATGATAATGCGCCATAATTCACAATTTTTGTATCATAATTTTAAATAGGTGCATTCAAATATAAACATTTGATTTTTTTTATTATAATCTTAAATTTTTTTATATACAATGAAAATTACTGTTTATAAACATATGAGACCCATGTTGTGGTTTGTGGGTTAGTATATATTAAATAAGTATTTTATTTTCTGATGGTTTCAATTTAATAGTTAAAACTAACGTTCTATTTTTGAATGGTTTGCATTCGCAATTCCATTATCCGTCGGTTGTTCATAAGTTGGTGGAAGTTTATAAAAGTGGCGTTACTAAAAAATCTCTATATTTGGGGAAGCATAAGTTGAATGTCGTAAAGAATTATTATCATTACAACATTAAGAGGACAATATTTGAAATAACCTTACATCTGTAAATACTCTGCAAATCTAAAGAAAGTATTGTAATAGGAACGTCCACTTTAACTTCGGTCTTTCTTCTTCTGATTACAATCTTCTTGGGATAGCTTTATCGTGAAAACGAATTTAAGGTGATGCGAAATTTGATCGTAGTAGTTTCACACAAAATATGTAAGTTCACGACATAATTCTTGGTCATTGTAATTTTCATATTTACATAATGACAAAGTGCTTAATTCAATATTCTTTTGACCTCTCGCTTTTATGAAGGGATCCTTCGTCGATTTGTGTTTTATCTCTGACAATATGAATTTGTTTCACCCGCGGGGTTAATTTCAGATCAATCTTATGGAAGATAAGCTCTTTTAGGAATGGTAATTTCATAATCTAACTGATCGTTACAACCACTTTCTTTCTTCGAGGATGGTTCAAATTATAGATACACGTGGAAGACGTGTTTGTTATCGTTCATTTTTACTTATCATGATAACTTATAAGAAAAAGGATTGGGCTCTCGAACCTACACGCTTCACTTTTTAACATGGTAAATTATAAAGGTTATCATATTTCATATTCATTCTCTTTAGTTTTTTTTTTTTGTTTCGAAAAGTGAGTTTTGTGGTTTAAAGTAAGAAAAATACAATTTGTCAGTTGAAGTAAAAACTTAATTTTGTGATCAATGATGAACTTAAACCTCAAATGTGCCCGTTAAACTTTTACCCACATTTATGTATTATCCCAAATTATGAAAAACATTTCTGTATGTCATCCGAAATTAAATTTTTGGGGGCATAATCATTATATATTTATTGAAAGTAAAAAAAAAAAAGAAATACATATTTTTTTCATCCAATAAAGAAATACAATACAATCTTACAGTATAAAGTATCGAAACAATAAATGAACAAAAGGTGTACCAGAAAAATTATATTTATAAACCATTTATATTGCATGTTTTTTATTGGTACCTGGAATGGAAAGAATTTAATTGAATACTTTGTCAACCTTTATCTTAATCATCATCATTATCATTTACCTCACAATCAATTAATAAAATCCCAAGTGATCTGAACTCTACCCTGATCTAGGTTGGCAATTTTTTCGAAAGCGGTCGGAGACAAGTCCAAATCACCAAAAGAACATCCAGGACATCTATCTACAACTCGACAAGTAACGGTTCCTTTTGGACCGTTTATAATAACTCTTTTACCACATATTGGATTTTGGTTAAGATTTGGCGTGTTACCAAATTGAGCAGCGTTAACCGCTACTATCAGGTCAAACCTTGATGAAAATACACCACATGCACCTAAACCTGGTTCGTAATATGTAGCATTACCTAAAAAGGCACGTTTTTGAAGATGAGAAGAAAATGGAGCCGAATAAGAAGTGATTATGAATTGTGAAAAAATCACAAAAAGTGCAGAGATCACAATGAATAAACTTGAATTATTTGAAAAATACATGACAATTTGATGTATGTATGAAACGAAAGATGCTTTCAAGGATTATTTATATACTTTTACTGAACTAGCAGGCTTTTTCTTTGTAGGGTTTTTTTTTGCTGATAATAACAGAGCGTGTAAGCGCAACGAATGCTGTGTAAATTTGTCTTGCTTAGCGAAAATTAATATTATAAAATTTCTATTTGTAATTAATCAAAGGACAAACAAGCAAATAATCGGGAGACTTTTTGAAAGATTACGAAAAGATGTATTGATCTAAAAGATAAACTCAAAAATGATGCCAAATTTATTTGTTTTTCTGGAAATCTTGAATCGAAGAGGGGTGATAATTTTCTGTGATGCATTAAAAAACATATTATTTTTCGTATAGAGAATTGTTTACAATTAATTAACAAACGTTATACCTTTTCTTAAGTTAATTTTTTATTTTATCAGTTTGTTTAATTCAACAGTTATAATAAATTCGTCGTTTCTTTTATACGACGCGTTCATTTTGCCAGGAAGAAACTTTTTTTTATGAAACTTAATTTATTTTAGAACACCAAACCAATCCCGAACGTTTACATTTTAAAATGTAGAGAGAATCGCCTCTTTCATTGTTACTTATCTGTTAGATCTGTTCTGATAAATATTAAGATCTCTCTACAATAGAAATTAAAAAAAAAAAGATTGGGAAGTACATTTATGTTGTCAATGAAATTTTTTGAAATATGTAATTTAATTCTTTCATTTAAAATTGTCCTCTGAAATGCTTGTTATTTTGTTATTTTATTACTGTATATTAATTAGAAAAGAAACGCAAAAGTATTTATCATGTGATCGGTAAGTCCCTCAATTTTTTTTTTTTTTTTTTTTTTTTTTTTACGACGTGGCACTGACAGTCACTTTATTAATTAATAAATCAAAATTACAAAATTGAGAAAAAAAAACTATTCTAGTACTAGCTATCCCTCGTGATTATATACAAACCCGTTTGAATCTACCTATCATCGTCTTTTCCGTTTCCCTCCAAACAATTTAAATGCATAAGTTCTGTGTAACAGAAAATCTTTCATCAAAAAAACTTGAATTGTTAATATATATCTGGATAAAATGTTTTTAATAAAATCTCGTATCACATGAATAGATAGATACAACGGCGTCTCCCTCAATGTAATTGAAGATTATGCTCATACACTATGATCAATTTAAATATCAATACCTTGAGCAGCTTCTCCTCATTATTAAGTTTAAAATGAACAAAATAATAATAAAAAAAAAGGCAAATCCTCAACCTACGATCTCACTTATACTCTACCAATGATAAATTTTAGCCTATCAATTGAAAAAAAAGATGGTTTGGGCTTCCAGATTTTATTCATCGGAATAGTACTCATTTAATCTTCAAAATCAACTTCGACTAATTAAAATTCATTTCCGATCCATTGAGTTATGTGCTTGAGAACGCCCTCGGCTATCACGAAAACCAAGGATTCCTTGATGGAGCTACATCACGTGTATTTTATCCGATTTAACCCAGTTATTTTAAAGTGGGTCAATTAAAAATTTTCCAAGCCTAAAAAATTAATACGGAAATTTTTTGCAAGGCATACCTCTGGATCATTAAATTAACGTCAGATGACGTTGAATTCTTTAAAACTCTCACCTTCCGACGTTAAATCATGGATATATCGTCGAAAGGTTTCTTTTAATCATTCATCTTTCATAGAAATTTGGTCTAGTAATGGGAAATAGAGATTTAGAATGAGTCAATGGGATATCAAATCGAAAATAGTCCATTAGAAGTAATACATTGATTTCGTTGTTTAACGATAAAACTTGCTTTAAATAACTTTTCGCCATTCTAATTTTATATTCTTAGTTACCGCCCTTTTTTTTACAAATAGCGATTAAGTCATAAAAACGAAATAGTTATATCATTACCGATATTACGTTTGTTTTATATCTTGTATAGTTGAATTACTGATCACCACCTTGAAATTGACTGAATAAAAAAAAGAAAAAAATTCTGCTGTCAGATAATTTCTTTCCTCCGAACAAAATTTGCAAAATGTCAGCACAACTTTCAAATTTGAGCCAAAATTATATCTAACTAATTAAAACATAAAATTATATAAAAAAAAATTGATATTGCGATAAATTATTATCGTTAAACTAGTTTTACCCAGGCGATGCCCGGGGTTTCGCCAATACGACGTGAAATAGATGTTGAAAACTTAATTTTTTAAAGTTTTAGCATATCTATAACAAAAAAAAATTATGAATGATCCAACCCTAACCCTAACAACCCTAACCCTATTAATTGATGTAGTTTATAGATATTATTATTTATTTATTAATTTTTTTTTGTTTTTTTTCAAAAAAGAAAGCAATTTATTTATTTATTTTCTGTTTTCTTAATTTTGTATTTTTTATTCTATTTTTTTGTTAATTTCTAATTTTTTTTTATTTCCTGTAACTTGCGAAAAAAATAGAAAATGTGAAAAATAACATTTATGTTTATTATATCAATTATGAATGTTAAAAATTATAATAGTTTTCGATTATATGTATTAGTTAAAAAGAAAAAATTAGTATTTAGAACGTTTGTATATAAAAACCGAAAGTTCGCTTTTGATCAAAGAAATAAGATAACGAGTCTTGAGAAAAGACGTCAGAAATTTTGAAATAATAAATTCCACCTTCACACTTTCAACCTTTATCGTGTCTCCATATAGACTTGACAAATAACCAACTATACAAAGAATCGTATTAAGAAAAAGTTAAATAAATCTTAAGAACGGGCCTGAGTTAGATTTAAATCGTTCTAATTTCGGTTAAGTTTTTTTTAAATTTTTTTTTATTTTAAATATTTTTTAATTTAATTTTTTATACCTCGATTTTAATTTAAATTTTTTTTGAAAACTTTTTATTAATAATTTTAATTTTTAAATTTGATATTTTTTAATTGGTTTATTTTTATAATTCTACCATCCGTGATTTTTTAATATTTAATTTAACTTTTAATATTCGCAATTTTTTATTTAAATTTAAATATCCGTGGTTTATTTTTTTAAAAAAATATATTTTTTCTTATGAATTATTCAACAAAACATGTGATTCGATCTAGATAAAAAGCATATAAAGGATTTCTGTAAAATGTTTATGAAAAGAATATATCTTACTTCTTTAAAAAATACGACCGGAATAATTGTGAGAATATTAAACGTTTTAAGAAAACTGGGATATTACTAGTTCTACTCCATTAGTTATACGTTTCATTCCAGTGCGTTATCCTCCTTTAGCCATCATTCGATTCTTCATATTCAATCCACTCTTGAATTTTTTTTGCTTTAAAGTTGCTCTGATTGAATGAATTCATCAATCTCATGATTTCCGCTAGTCCAATTTTTGAAATTTTGTTGTAACCGGCGGTTAGCGATGACTGACACCAATTATTACCGGTATTTGGCTGCCTACATCTTTTTCATAAATATGATTCTTTTAAACTTTCACTTTTTATTAGTTGATCAATCAAATAATAATATTAGTTCGTTCAAATGATTTGCACATTCAAAATAATCGATAGATGGTACGTTTGACGTTTTTTATGTGAAACGAATGCAAAAAAAAAAAAAATTTAATTATTAATAACGCAAATACCTTAACGGTATGACTCGTTAACAAAATCAACCTAGTTATATCAAATTCTGAATTGGAACCGATCATTTTTCGATCAAAAGAAGTTTTGACTCGAGAAATCTTACGGGTGATCATCCACTTTTTTTTTTTTTTTTAATAAACAATCATTTGTACTAACCATTAAAAAGCAAAGATGAAATTTTATTTTAACTCAATAAATCAGCATGCGTGCATAATAAATAAATTTCAAATTTGTTACATTTTTTAAATTAATTGAAAGCAAGCTTGGACGTATTAATTTATCCAATTTATTGAAATTTATTGATAATATTATTGAAAATAACTTAAACTATTTGTAATAAGCAAAGTCAACACAAAACTTACAACGTAAAGTAAAAAAATAAAATAAATAAAAAAGAGCAAATAACGTTTTGTAATTATAAGTATTTTATTTACATTAAAAAAAATTTGTTGATTACAAAAATAAAGAATTAAAATGTTTTAACAGTATGAAAGAATTATCTTATGATTCGATGCGTTAGATTCTTTATTCCCAAATCCCTATTTTTGATTCAACACTATTTAGGTGTAAGATCTCTAATAATTCTAATAATTGATGGCCACAAAAAAGATAAATGCTTTCTAATTGTTGAAACTAAACTTCCATGGTAATAGTATCATATACTTGAAAAACGAAATTTCGATCTACCAATAGGTTTCCAAAGACCAAGCCTTTGCCGTTCAACTCCGAGGTCTTTAAATTCTCGACAACGATTTTGCCGAGAATTCTTTTACGTCTAATATTTTGCCAGGAAGAGAATCACGCCACATTAATTAACGTAGCTTTGGATTCATTTGGAAGACGATTTGCTAACAGCGACATTAAATCTTCTTCATTTAAGAATTCGCTAGTCAATACATAAGCCATTTTTGTTAAAAAGTTGGGATGATTAAGATGGTCTTAAATTTGATTGTTATACGATATATATTTTAGATAATAGATTTAAATGTAAGAGAGAAGTTTTTTTTTTTTTTTTCAGTAAGGAAAAAAAAAAAGAAAAAAAAATGGTGGGTTTATTTAAAGTAGTTTTTCAAAGCATTCCTGCCGATCATTTGAATCAGCTTAAATGTGTAAATGTCCGAAGTGAATGCACATATTTCGGACATCAACTAATAAGGCTATAGAAGAACAATACGTTTAACTTTATCGATTGTTAATAAAAAAAATAAATAATAATTTTATTGTTCCAAAAAATAGCTAATTTCTTATTGAAAAAATGCGGTTCCTGTCGGCATCAACTAATTGGGTTATAGAAGAACAATACTTATAATTTTATCGATTGTTAATAAAAATGATTTCCTTGTTCCAAAATTAGCTTAAAAAAAATGTGGAGTTTATTTAAGAAGTTTTGTCAAAACATTCCTGCTGATATGAATCAACCCAAATGCGTAAATTCCGAAATGAATGCATATATTTCGGACATCACTAATTGGGTTATAGAAGAACAATACTTATCAAAATATTTAAGGTTTTTGTGGATGTTGATCATTCACCACCTAATAACATTACATTATTTATTTATATAAAAATAAATTAATAGTTCGTACTGAATTTGTCTGTAATTATCGGTAAATCCCAGGAAAAAAAATTTTTTTCGCTAAAATTCAAGGTGTGAATCTCATTTTTCAGAAAATGATTTAATAACAGCAGAAATTTTTTCTAAATTTGAGCTAAATATTGATAATAAACCGAAGAGATTTGAGATCATGAATCGTGACTGCGCATTAGTATTAATAAGATAATTATGACCGCATTCAAGCATGTGACCTATTGCTGAAAAGTTCATTACGAAGCAAATGTACGGTAATTATGCATAAATGCCGAAATTAAGTCGACCAGGCTAAACATATAAACAATTTTGAAAGAAACCTACTTATATAAGAATTTAACTCATGATGCGCACGGGAAGAAATTATCATCATTATTAAAGATGGAAGAAATGAGATAATTGTGAGTTAATTTCGAATACTATTTACCTTTTAATCATTATATATTTTTTTTTCTTTTATAAAAAAATTTTTATGTTAAAAATTCATATAATGATTATTTAATACAAGAATAATTCTTTTAAATATCAAATATTAACAGAGATTTATTAATTATTTTATAATTAAAATATAAAGAAATTATTTTCATATTATCAAAATATCTTAGAAAATGAATTTAATAGCAAAATCTCAAATGTTACAAAATTGATATAACATGTAATAAAAATTTAATTTAATAGCAAAATCTCAAATGATTTCAAGTAATAGGCATTATTAAAAATTATTTAATAATAAATATTAAATAAATAAATTTTAAATTATTTTTTTAATTAAAGTGACTCAAAATTAAAAAAATTGTACATTTTTTATTGTTAAAATGTTTATTATGGATAAAAAATTTTAAAATTTATTTACAGATTACAAAATATGATTTAATAGCAAAGGTTTCATATATTTACTAATCTATTTATTTAATTATTTTATATATATAATTTAATGTAACGTATTAAAATAAATAATAAAATAATTTAATAAATATATTTATACTTATATAAATAATTAATAAATTTAATATTTATATTTTTATTATAAATGTCTAATGAAATGAATATACTTGGATGATCCTTTTATCTATGTACTCTGCAACTTCAACAGAAAGAATAGCTCTATGATAACCCTCTCTTCATACTTAATGATTATAGGAAGCATGCTTCCAGTTTATGAAAATTTTCGTTGCTGTTTATGGAGCAACTTATTAATTATTAAGGAAATTACATGTTCACTTTTCGTGATCTGTATACTATTACACATCCTATTACTCATAGTTTTCAAATGTTAAGTAAGTATAAAGCCTTAGAACTTTATCTAAATTCAGATCAAGAGAGAAGAATTGTATTCACAAATAGTTTCAGACATAAACACTATTACAGTTATTCCATTATACAACCTACTCATTCCCAACATACCTCTGAGTTTGCAGTTAGTTAGCATTCCTCAGTCAACTACTATGTCCTGGGAAGAATTATAAGAATTGATCAAGATACAGTACATCTAATGCATCATATACCTTCAATTGAACCTGATAGTATTACAATCCTTAATCTATGTATTCATTGTCAAATTCATCAGGAATCTGCTATTAAATTTAGAGGTCATTATGACAATTATTGCTTTACACTACCTCTCCTCCTCTGCGCAAAAATTCCAACTTCGTTTAAAAATGATCATATTGATTGAATCTATAGTGCTCTGTCCAATAGTGCATTATATAAACTTGCTTTAACCTATTTCTTAAAAAGCAATAATCAAAGTCTATTCGCAGCCCTGAGAAATTTTACTCAACTAACTTTTTTTAATTTATTTGACAAATATTTGTCACCCTCTATAATTCTCAATTATTAACTT